GGGGCGCCTGGCGGTCCCCGCACCCCAATTTGGGGATCCCCCTCCCTCCCTCTCTCCACACCCCCCCGCGGGGCTCTCCGCCCCGCTCCTGTCCCGGCCGCGGTGATGCAGGGGTTAACGTGGTGACGTGGTGCTCCTGAAGCAGTGACCCACGGGGGCAGCCAGTGGGGGCTGCAGGGGGAGACGAGCTGGAGAAGGCTGAGGTCCCGTTTGGGAAAGAGGGAAGACGACTCCCACAAACTGCCTCGTTTCTTCACTTATTTCCAAGCTGCGGCTCGCAGACTGCGCTTCTTCCGCATTCATCTCCAACCTGCGGCTCACTTGTTTTTACGCATCTTCAGTAAAACGCCGTCCCGAATGGAAACTGCGTGTCTGTGTGTGTGTGTGTGTTTTACTGCACGATTATTTGCAATAATTTCTTTGTCTCTTTAGTTCAGAGCGGCACATCGAAGCAGACCGAGCTCCCTCTCCGTGGAGCGAGAACGGGAGATAAATTCACTTTTTACGCACAAACTTGTCGGGAGCGTTTGGACTTGATCAAAGGCTGCGGGGCAAACGCACGGAAATGCCGTGGACTCTTTTAACGCCTGTGCTAAATGTTTATTAGCGCTCTCTTACAATTGAACCCGCGTGTGCACGGCAGTGTGTGCCTGAGCCGGCCGGCCGGCCGGGCATCCTCGGAGCAAAGTACTCTGAAACTCAGGAGAGCAGCCATATATAGCAGGAATTGATGTATAGGTGAATTTTAAAAAAAGGTGGGTAAACTGTGACCTCCAGGCGGTAATTAGGGGCGTCATTTGGCAAACAACCGCCACTAGAAACAAATAATTTCCAGAGGTGAGCGGATGGCTCCTTCTCGTGCCAAACTGTAACTATTCCACAAATAAAAGCTAAGCAGTTTGGTGTGGCCTGCCTGCCTCCACACATCACGGGTATTTAACACATGGCGCATAGACAGAGGAATGATTACCCCAAACTTTCAGTGCAAATCTCATGTTATGAGAAAGATGTATGTAGAAAGAATGACAGGCCTCCTTTCCACCTCCTCCACCTCCATGCATAGATCCAGTTCAGCACAATCACATACTAAACAACACTGGTCGGAAAAAGGTGTGTGTGCGTAAATGCGTCAAGCCTATATCTTTGTTGGTGGGGATGGAAGTGGGTGTATTCCTGGTAACTCACAAGCACGCTTGATGATGTCCCTTTGCCCCCTCCCCTGATTAAAAAAAAACACAGAAAATACAAGAAAGCTCCCTTCTACTCTCCTAGACAAGACGACAGACAGAGAGAGGGTGCATATGAAAGAGGGAGAGAGAGAAAGAGAGTTTTCTCCATCAATTTTCTGTTTAATGTCAGCGCTCCAGCTCTATTGTGGGAGAGAGAGAGGACGCGTCATCCACACATAAATTTGCTATTATACAGCCTGACGGAGACTCGCATCTACAGGATCCGGAGCTTGTAGTTGGGAAAACCCCTCGGTGGATAAATTCAGCAGAGAGCTAACGTTTAAGGAAGCAGAGCGCTATTTAAGTCCATACATTGGAGTGCGCATTGCTTTGGATACAGCGTTTAGGATTTTTTTTTCCCGAGTTGTGACGTTTTTGTGAGGAAGAAAGACACTTTTGGTTGTTTAGTTTTCAATTTATATCCGTAAATACAATCATGTTCTATATGGAGACGGTCGTTTTATAGGTAGGTGTTGTATTTTGTTGTTTGTCATGTTTAATCACTATCGGTATAATTTATCTAAGGACTTATATATAGTAATAATAACTATTCACTGTATTTTCGCTGAGTTTGGACTTTACAAAGTCTTCATTTTGGGAGACAGCCCTGAGGAGTTTTTCATGCCCATGCGTATTTTGTGTCCTAGCTCCAAAATGTGCAAGTGAAAAAATGTGTTTGTTTGTTTATTTATTTGTTATTTGTCTATTTAGATAGGCGTGATTATGCGTTTGGGCTACTTTTATAAGTCACGATTAAAGACGCGAAAAAGGTTGGATATCATTTTTTTTTACGCTTTCAACAACTTTAACGCGCAGTCACGGCAGATATGTTTGTGTTTAATCGCTTAACGTTCGCTGACAAATGCAGACGGACTGAATGGATGGATGCTTTGGGAGAAAAAATCTCGATGTCTTTCATGAACACTGAGTGTGCAGTTCGTGTAAGAAGGTTTATCAGTTGGGGCCTCTCAGGGAGGCATGTGCCAATATAGTGGCGCACGCACGCACACACACAC